GGCAAATCAAACTTAAAAACAATTTCGAAACGGAGAATCTGGTGTTCTAAGTTTTACAGATAATAAAGCACAATAAAGTTTTGTCGGTGAACCTGCTATTGAGCCCAGGAACATAATCCAGCTCTACATGGTCGTCCTTTGTACCAATAGACTCCAGTAACTTCAGTGAGAAGAGTCATGGCCCTGCAGTTGACTATCCACACTTCTTTAATATAAGTCAAAGCCCATTACAATGCATCCTGTTACAATGGAAATCTTATTTTTGGAAGTCCACTTATTATTTTGAGCAACATTATATACAACCCAACAGATAAACAGATACAATAATTGACAACTTGTTGAAATGTTAGAGCTAAACCACAAAGAGTAACTGAGTAATGCTGTGCTCAACATTAGATGATCTATAAAATTCAACTGGCAAAGGGAGATCAAAGAATTGTGCTTTATCTTGAGCTTGAATTGGATGACAAGGAGATTAGGAAATCCTAAGTGGAAAAATATTCAAATCATTGTGCTTTCTATATATTTTTCTTACTACCTATTTCCAGTTATAAATCTTACATCTGTGCCTCTGCATACCATTTCTTTTAAGTACAATACTAAACATTCTTTAAAATCATTTTCTACTAACTACAAAAGGTACACTCAGATAACTGTAAAAGCATCTGCTTTTAGAAGAAAAGCATCAAATATTCAGGGAACTTTATTTTTAAAGAATAAATCAAATAAGACACAGCTTTCGTTTACCCAAACATGCATAATCCGACCTAAATATAAAATGCACTTAATTGGTAAATTACACATGAAATACAAAGGGAACGCAATTTTACATATGTAAAATGATTGCCAGCTATAGCAATTTAACAGTCAAATTTATCAGAACATTGTACATTAAAAAATAAAAACAACTTAAAGCCAATTATCTATAGTAAACCAAGGAAAATTCTGATATGGAATGGTTTGACTCAAAGCAAAGAATAAGGCACCTGCTATGAATTTAGCGCAACCATAAAACAGAATTAGTTAACCAAGATACTTGTTTCAAAAAGGGAAACAAGTACAGAAATTGATAACTGGGTGAGAAAGGCAAGTAACAATTTAGTTAAAAACCTGCTGGCCCAAGGTCAGTTGATTAATTTCTTATTCCAGAATAGTTAAGTTCCTGAAAGTCCTTAACCACTCTGCTCCCTTACTGCTCTCCACGTTTGAGGGTATCAGAAGCCCTCTATGAGGTTCACACTGTGTATAGACTAGGTAGCAGATTTCCCTTCTGTTCCTCTTAAAACAGCTTATTTTAAAAGAAATATCCTGAGGCAATTAACAAAGCAAACACAAGCAGCTTTCTTTCCAACGCATTAATACATAGACACTGCTCAGGTTTTTATTCACCAAGTTATGGCTAAGTATACAAACAGCCAGTACTTGCAGTTTTCAACAGTACTAGAAAACCCAAAACCTGCCCTATCACCCTCACCCTTACCATTAGTAAAACGTAAATCTGATCAATCATAACCTATAAAATCATATAACAAAGGGAAGACTAAAGACTGATCATTATCAGTAAATCCATTCAATTCCAGATGCCACTTTAGGCTGATGTGTCTAGGACCCTAACGGCATTTCAATCATTAATCTAGAAAAGCATTTCCAAACTAAGGATAACTTTGTAGTTGATGTGCCTTTTTTTGCTATTAAAAGTGCTATTTAACATGCTAAAATAAAATATCTTATGGCACATTGGACTCAACAGCATGTTCTAATGAGGCATCCATGTTTAGTAGTATTTTTCCCTAGAATTTTGTTTGGCATAGTAAACCCCTTTGATACATTAAAATAATTCTGGTGAAATCAATGTAACATAATAAATGTAACATAAACAAACCTTCCCTGATTGACTTCACTCCACCACGGCAGCTTTTAATGAAACCACAGTAACTGATTAGGTCAGAAAATGATCAAGTTTTTTCTATGGCATCTTGGGTTACTATACTCACTCATGCAAAATCCAAGGTAGTGTAATGGAAACAATATTGGTAAAATAGATGTTGTGGCTACAAGCATCTCCCTTTATATTAGACATTTAGAAGCTTTTAAAAAGTTTTAGATGCTAAAGGTTGTGGCAAAACTAGGCTGTGTAGTTGTTCGATTTATAAGCACCTTATTACAGGACAGTTACATGACCCTATAAGGGAGTGTGCTTTCAGTTCAAGAGTAATAAAGTGCCTAGCTATATAAAAACCACAAGACTTCAAATTGTAATTTAAGCTAACTGCATTTATACATTAGGGTTAACAAAATCTAGACCCTGTCTATGCAGACTTAGACTAATTGTTCATAGTGTTTTAATAACCACATAAAAAAACTTACTCTTAATTGACTGAATAAGTAGGGTCCACTACTGTATCTTAACAATCAAATTTTATTGCTTTATTCATGTGGTGTTTTTTGCAAGGCACTGTGGTATGGACTAGAAAACTTGGAATGACTCATGAAGAAACCTTGGAATGATACATGAAGCATGATAGGAAAGTCATTCTGAGGCAGGATGCTTTACTGAATTGTTTTCAACCAGGGTATCAAACATCAGGAATGAGTTCAAGTTAAAATTCACAGGAGAATGGAAACATCTTAAGGTCAGTCACTTCACATGCCCATCCTGATACTTTGAATAATCTGGAAAATTGCTGTAAAAAGAAAGAGCAAATATTAAAATAAGCTTTGAATAAAACAGGTCCAGTGACTAACAAATATTAATTAAGGTAGCTGAAGAATCCAAAGGTACTCTTACATTTGCAAATGGTACATAACTTCATTATAATAAGAAGTGACGACAGGCCTATTTGAACAAATAAAACAATGAAATGTCCCTGAGTTATTTTTTTTAATCTTAGCTTCGCTAAATTTTATGTCTAAGTATTACCAAGAGAACTTCCAGATAAGTAATCATTTTACAAAGAACTTAAAGCACCAAAGCAAACAGGTTTTTCCAGCATAGAATTATTTTGGTTTATCCCTAAATAATTAAGCATCCTTTTAAGGCCTGGCCTATAACACAAGCATGTTTCCTCATTCTCACAAAGCTGAAATTCAATAATCTTCAGGTTATATAAACTGCTTGGCTCTCAGCCATTTATCAGGAAAGTTTCCAATTGGTAAGTGCAAAAGAAAGGCAAAGTGAAACGTTAAACAGAAATCTCAGTAACTTTAGAAAGTGGAAAACCAACATCTACTTCAATATTAACAGCTTGCATATTAAGATGATAAACGAAGAGAGGAAAGACCTTTTTTTTGTAATCTATTTGCAAAGGCAAGTGTCTGTTACTCTGACAGCAGGCTGCCCTGACAATTTTTTTTAAACCATATGTCAAACGTTTCTTTTATTAACCTAAAAACATTTGACTCACATTAAAATGCCAATCAGGTACATTTCCTCTACAGTGAATCAATTCTTTGCACAAGCTTTACTTCATAAAATATACTCAATTTTGACATTAAGATATTAAATTCTGGTATATGTTAAATCAAGTGCTAACATCTGTATGTACATATTTATAAGTTCCTTTGCAAAGGCTGATAATGAAGTTAAAAAAATTCTAAATTATCATTCCGTTAGGTTTTGTCCGGTCGTACATTTATTCCAACTCGATCATTACCAAGACTTGACCTCCTTTCTGATCTCCTGTGAGTACAAATTAAGCTAGGAGAAGTTTCTGGAGCACTACCCTCTGTGCATATGTGGAACAAGTAATTTGGTTCAGATGAAACAGAATTATGTGGAGTCCTCGGCAGGTGGGTTGAGAACTACGCAGGTAGGACTCACTACTGACCGGTCACCACGTCATCCCAAACCCTTTCAACCCAAGACTCTACCTGATGGGAGCCCGCAAGACACTTACCAGAGCCACAGACAACAAAAATGAAGAGAGCCAATAACCAGGGTCCTACAGACGCCTTCTCTTCGGGGGCATTTCTCTGCAAAAGCGAAAATCCACCATTTCAGATGCAGACAAACCACTCGGACCCCAGGCTCCCACAGCCCCGGTGGCCGGTCCCCTCACCCACAGGTCTCCCCTTCGGTTCCCGAGCCCCTACAGTCTGGCGGCTCGCAGACGCGGGCCCCTACCCCTCCACAGCACAGCCCACAGTCGGCCGGATCCGGGAGAAAACGCGACGCGGCCCCAGGGACCCCGACTGTGCCCCGGCTGCGGAACGCAGAGGGGCGACCGCTCTTTCCTTACCGAGGTCTTGGCCACGTTGCCGCGCTGGGTGATGTTCTTGCTGTGCTTCTCGTTGGCCATACGGATCCTCTGCTTGGCGACCATCTTCGCGGCGCCACCACCTGCCCCGGCCACCCCTCGGACTCGCTCGCTCGCCTGCCTCCTCTCGAGCCGCTGCGAGGCTCGGCTCGTGGTGCCCGCGCCGCCGGAGCGCCGAGGTTCTCAGGCCAGGCGCTGGCTACGGCCGCTGGGCCTGGGCGCGGCAAGCGCGGGGACTGAGCACAAGCCGGGCGCCGGTCGCCGACTGACTGGCCAAGCCTGGCGGGTGCGCGGGAGGAAGATAACTGGCCGCCGGGTCGTTCTCGCACCGCAGTCGCCGCCGCTTTGGCCGCCGCCGGGAGCGCGGAGTGAAAGAGGAAGGAAACGCAACGCAACAACAGGAATGTGCAGCCCGCCGCCTCGATCTACTTTGGGTTCGGCTGCCAACGTCAGCACTAGGTGGGCTCCGCCCCGCGGAAGTGCGCGCCCCTCCTGCTAGAGAAGGAGGGCGAAAGCAGGCGCACCCGCCCCAGTCCAGCCCTCCCAAGCTCGGTCAAGCGTCGCCCCAGATGTGTACTTGCGCGTTTGGGCGCCTTTTCCGCGTCACTCCGCAACCGGAAGTGAATTGGCCCCGAGGCTGATGGCTCCGGAAACACCAGCTCGCTGTTTCCACGCAGGAGGAGACGTGTAGGGGCCGGGTTCGGCCCTCGTGAACTCTCACCCGAGCGGTTTCTCTTTCCGGGACAACATGGCGCCGTCCACGCCGCTCTTGACAGGTGAGTTCTGAAGAAGCAAGGGACTCTCTTTCTTCAGACTAGTTTCTTACTTTTGTCTTTGTCTTTGAGAACTACCCGAGGAGCCCGAAAAGTCTGATCTGCCTTTTCTTGTGGCTTGCGGAAAGGCCAGACTATCTCTTGGCTTTCTTGATATAGCGTGGCAGTCGGAAGTGAAGTCTCCGCCTCTGGGCTTTCGTATTCCCCCTCCCTTTCACTGATCCATCATTCTTGCCTGCGGATTTATCTTCTACAGGAATAGAAGAAGGGGGAGAAAAACAGAATGTGCTAGTTGAATTTGTGACACCTGGGTCTGCAATACTGGTGTTACACGGGCCCTTGTGAAGTCATTTAGCTCTACAGTAAGGACAAAGACAAACAGAGTTAGTCCACTAGAATGACCACGCACATTAAATACACCTGGACTTAAGTAATTCCAAATTCTGGCCTGCCTTCCTTAATGAGGTTTGTAGGACTGAATAGGGAGAGTGGAGCTGTAATGCAGATTTCAAATGATGAAGGTGGGGTTGGAAGAGGATATAGCAGTGAGCATGATAGAGATATTCTAGCAACATTTTATTTTGAAATGGTTATGAGCATATTGAAAGTAGAACATTAGAGGACTTTTGAAATTTTGAAGCTGAAGACAGAGTGTGTAGTGTTGAAGAAGATAATAAACTTAGATTGGACAATGCTGGGGAAGTTGCTTTACTAGGTTGTGGCTAGGAGTATTTGCATGTGAGTATTATGTAAGGGAAAGAATTGGGAAGGAAAAGAAGGCTTTGGTTAAGTTCTGGTAACTATATAGAAGGAAAAAAGTCATTAAGAGAAACGTCTGCATTTGAGGAGGAAGGCTATTTCCTCCCTTTTCCCCCATCCCCTGAAAGGAACCTTAAGGGCCGGGCGCAGTGGCTCACGCCTGTAATCCCAGCACTTTGGGAGGCGGAGGTGGGCAGATCACGAGGTCAGGAGATCGAGACCACCCTCGCTAACATGGTGAAACCCCGTCTCTACTAAAAATACAAAAAAAATTAGCCGGGCGTGGTGGCTGAGGCAGGAGGAGAATTGCTTGAACCCGGGAGGCGGAGGTTGCAATGAGCCGAGATCGCGCCACTGCATTCCAGCCTGGGCGACAGAGCGAGACTGTCTCAAAAAAAAAAAAGAAAGAAAGAAACCTTAAAACATTTTTGCACTTTTTGCCAGTCTACGTTTCTATTTCTACATTTTAAAATCTTTATTATTAAGCACCATGCCCACTGACAGACTGTCTTCTACAGTTTAGTCATCATTTATCAAACGCTGGCTATAATGTGCTAGGTAATATGCTAGGCAGAGACTGTTGGGCAAAGTTACATAATAAATTTTTTTTAGGTTCGTAAAGGTAGCTTGTTACTCACAATTTTTAATACTAAATTCTTATTTGAACTCTAATGAAAAAAATACGACATTTAAAAATCTGATAAATAACCTCTCCTTTAAAAATGCCTACAGTAGTTAGTTCCTCACTGCTTACAGGGTAAATTCCATCCCACGTAGCATAGGGTATGTAACCGTTTATAATCCTTGAATTGCTCTTGAGACTCATTTATTTCCTTGCTATCCCATCCTATTTTGTACTCCATCAATACTGAACTGCTTGTGAGTACCTTTGAACAACCTGTTTCTTCAGTCTAGTACTATCCTATGCCTCTAGTTGATTTGACAAACTCTTTATCATCTGTTGAAATTAAAATTCATTTTAGATATCATTGCTCTGTGAAGCCTTTCCTCACGCTACCCAGATAGAGTCAGTCACTTCCTGGGCTATTTTTGTACCTTAAGTATATTTGAAATTTTGTTTCACTTACTAAGTAGGATAATTAGACATTCACTTGCCTTTCTCCCCTGCTAGACTGTGAGTCCTTCAATGTCAGGGACAGGGTCTTATTCATATCTGTCTTCTCAGTACTAGTGCAGTGCCTGGTAGACAATAGATACTCTAAATCAGGGGTCCCCAACCCCCCGGGGCCAGATTGGTACCGGGCGAACATTACCACTTGAGCTCCCCCTCCTGTCGGATCAGTGGGGGCATTAGAGCCTCATAAGAGCGCAAACCGTATTGTGAACTGTGCATACAAGAGATCTAGGTTAGATTTATCTGTTTAGACTATCCTTCTAAATGAAGGATAGCCACTTTATAGTAAATTAACCAAGGATGACAATTGTCTTACAGTGTTTAAAATGAGGGAATTTGTAAGAGCTTAAATGTTGTCTGTTCAGTGTACTCTTCGTATTCTCATATTCTTAGAGGCCCAGAGAGATTAAGTGGTCAGATTCACGCTGCAGATTGGCAGGATTAGGATCATACTTATTCAGATTGCTCAACTCTGTGGTCCATTTTTCTTTCACTAGAACAAACTGTTTAATCTTTTAAGCATTTTCAATGTACATATTTCATTCAACAGTAGATTATTTTACTTCGAAGATCTTTTGTTAAATTTAGACTCTTGGGATTTTAGAGCTATGAATAGCTTGCAGATTAGCCAGTAAATTTTGTTAACCCCAACTCTTAGTTGGGAATGACAAGCCAAAGCAGGTGAAAAAGGAATTTTTTTTTAAACTCATATAACCTAAAAGCCTCACTGCTGCTAGATCCAGATACTCACATGCTTCAGAAATCTGTTTTTCTTTCTTTCTTTCTTTCTTTTTTTTTGAGACAGAGTTTCACTTTTGTTGCCCAGGCTGGAGTGCAATGGCGTGATCTTGGCTCACTGCAACCTCCACCTCCCAAGTTCAAGCGATTCTTGTGCCTCAGCCTCCCGAGTAGCTGGGATTACAGGCATGCACCACAACACCCAGCTAATTTTGTATTTTTGGTAGAGATGGGGTTTCACTGTGTTGGTCAGGTTGGTCTTGAACCCCTGCCCTCAGGTAATCCACCGGCCTCTGCCTCCCAAAGTGCTGGGATTACAGGCGTGATCCACCACGCCCGTCCAGAAATCTGTTTTTCTTCATCTCTAGGCTCTTGCTTTCCTCCAGATTAAATTCATCTTTAAACTGACATTCAACCAAACACCCAGCTCCAAAGGAAAGAACACATTTTTGCCAGTAGTCTCAGCAAAAATCTCAAGGCTAACTGCCTTTGACTTTGCTTGGCTCATCTTTGTATCAGTCAACTTTTAATCATGTAGTCAGGACTAAATTATATTCTCACTCCTGGATACTCCTCAAAAGAAAATGAGAGCCTCCTAGAGAAGAGGAGCTGGGTGCTAGGCACATAAAACAGCAATGTCCATTATATGAAATTCACATTGTCTAATCTGCTTGACCAGTTGAAATCACAGAGATAATTTGTTCAAAATTGAGTCATTTTCCTAAACTAATACATAGTTCAGTGAATGTAAGAGTTGGGAAAAGTATCATATTTTAAAGATGACTACACACCTGCCATAGGATCCTTGTTTATTGAAGCCCTGTGTTTTTCTCTCTCTAACGCAGGCCTAGAGCAATAAATAGTATATGAGTGTCTAAAAAGGCTAGTAAGCTTTGAAAAGATTATGTAGATGTTTAATGTATTTCACACAGCTACTGTGTGAATCTCTGGCGTTTATTTGTTGTTTTAATGAAAAGAACTGCTTGCATTGTAGATTTTTCTTTCTGCTAGAACATATTGCCGATCCCATTTGATTGAAGAGGGAAATCTCTGAAAATGGGGAATCACACAAACTCAGAATACACTATATTGAGCTAACTTCACATCGTATTTAGTTTCACGTTCAGATACTTGTAATTAAAAAGGACTCCTTGTTAGAAAGTTACATGTAGAAAAAAATTGTTTCAGTATTGAAAGGTTTTTTAGTCCATATTTATTTTTGGTTTTATTAGTTATAAAACAGTTTATGTTCTGTTATGGACCTGATTTTGTGTTTTTTCTAATAAACTTTGTATCACAGCTTATCAAGAGTAAATTAATTAAACTGTGTATCCTTTTATTAAAATTTATATGAAACTACAAAGTAATTAAATCTAGCAAGGCATCTTAGAAATACAAAATGTCAGTTTGGGCGAGGTAGCTCACAGCTGTAATCCCAGCACTTTGGGAGGCTGAGGAAGGCAGATTGGATTGCTTGAGCTAAGGAGTTTGGACCAGCCTAGGCAATATAGCAAAACCTCGTCTCTGCAAGAAATACAAAACTTAACATGGCTTGGTGGTTTGTGACATGATCATGGTTCACTGTGGCCTTGACTTCCCAGGTCCAAGGGATCCTCCTGCCTCAGCCACTCGAGTAGCTGGGACTACAGGCATGTGCCACCATGCCCAGCTACTTTTTGTAGAGACAGCATCTCCCTATGTTGCCCAGGCTGGTCTCGAACTCCTGGTTTCAAGCCATCTTCGTGCCTTGGCCTCCCAAAGTGCTGGGATTACAGGTGTGAGCCACCACGCCTGGCCTGAGCCCTATTTTGTTTTCCAGCTTCATCATCCTCTAGCCACATAGGCCTTCTTCCCATCCCCTTGATGCTCTGTCATTTTTCTTTCCATGGGGTTTTTGCACTTGTTACTGTTCTCTTTGTTTGTTAACTGCCATTGATCCTTTACATCTCAGGATACAAAACACTTTAAAGGATGCTTTCCTTAACCTTCCATTTTTAGGTCAAAACTCTCTATTATACCCTCAGTGGTACCATATAGCTTTCCTTTGATGCTCTAAACACAGGTATACAGTTCCGTATATTTGGCTAATTATTTGATTACTGTTTGCAAAGTTCAATGAGGTCAGAGACAAGGCTGATTTTCTTTCGTATTATATCGCCAGTGTTCAACATAGGGCCTAGGAAGTAGTTTGTTCATTTTTTTTCCCGCTAAGCATTTGTTGACTAAATGAATCTATTTATTTGGTTCAGCTTTAGAAGCATTTAATTCAACCATTTAAAAAAGTATAGTCTAGGCTAGGCACGGTGGCTCACACCTGTAATCTCAGCACTTTGGGAGGCTGAGGAGGGAGGATTGCCTTAGCCTAGGAGTTCAAGATCAGCCTGGGCAACAGTGAGACTCTGTCTCTATAAAACAAAACAAAACAAAACAAAAGCCAGGCAGGGTGGCACATACCTGTAGTCCCAGCTACTTGGGAGACTAAGCCAGGAGCATCACTTAAGTCCAGGAGTTTGAGATTGCAGTGAGCCTTGATCGTGCCAGTGTACTCCAGCCTGGGTGACAGCAAGACCCTGTCTCAAAAACATAAATAAAATAAAATAATTTAAACATAGAAATAAGAAGTATGGTCTAGTTCTGTAGATGATTATTTAATCTTGAACTTTGTTTCCACTTCATTTTTTAGGCTATTGCTGTCATTGGGGCCTTAGTAAATGAATATGTCTCATTCCACTTGTTCTCTTAGTTTGAGAAATTGTGAATATATGTTTCTAAAAAGTTTAAACATGTACTATATTTTTTTTATTACTTTATGTAAAGCATACAGCTATCCTGTGTTCTGATATTTCCATTTTACAGATTAGGTCACAGATTCAGAGGTGGTAATGTATCCAAGATTCCACAGGCAGTTATAAATTTAGGTCAGCCTCTGAGTTCATGTCCTCTTTACCATAAGACAGCTGCCTTTCTTTCAGTGATGACAAAGTTTCGAGTTTTTATTTAAAAAGTTACGTATTTCTCAGCAATTATATGATTTTATGTAACAGAGTAAGAAAATATGCCCTTTTGTTGCTAATCTATAGTTCAATGAAATATTTAATGATTTCATTAATATTTTTACTAAAGCTATTTTTTCTTAAAAAAAAGACATTTGTGTTAACTGAGTCTTTATTAACAAAGTAATTGTTGTTCTTTTTATTTTATTTCTTTAGTCCGAGGATCAGAAGGACTGTACATGGTGAATGGACCACCACATTTTACAGAAAGCACAGTGTTTCCAAGGTACGGTTTATTTTGTTAAGTAATGTTATATGTTACAGGGAACATACAGTACAATCTAAAGTGTCTTGTTGGTGGTGTGTTTTGAACAAGAAAGGAAAAGAAGAGATGAATTCGTTTGTATTGTATAATATTGTATTGTATAATGTTAACCGAAGATGAAGAGAATACATATTCTCTATCAAGGAAAATGATCTTCAGATCTGAAAATAGTAACTTAAGCCTATCTATAAGGTAGGGGGAGCAATACTAAGAAAAAGTGTAGACACTAGTGTGACTGAATACAAGCCTTTAGTTTACAAGAGTTTTAAGGAATGAGAAAAACTTGCAAATTTGATAGCCAGATCGCTGCCAGTAATCTTAGTGAAATCATAATGAAAAAGATATTAAAAAGGGAGGACATATATATACACATAGTATGTAGCTAGCTAGCTGTTTTTTTTTTTCCCAAAAAGACAATGGACAAGTAAACCAAAAACTAGTTAAAAATGCTTATCTATAGGGGGAGAGAGTTACAGGATGCAGGGGACACATCTGTGAAAGAGCTTTGGTATAGTTTTGACTTTGGACCATATAATTGATTTAAATTTAAAAATTAAAGGCTGGGTGCGGCAGCTCACGTCTGTAATCCCAGCACTTTGGGAGGCTGAGGCGGGCCAGATCACCTGAGGTCAGGAGTTTAAGACCAGCCTGGCCAACATGGCGAAACCCCGTCTCTACTAAAAATACAAAAATTAGCCGGGCGTGGTGGTGGGTGCCTGTAGTCCCAGCTACTCTACTCAGGAGGCTGATGCAGGAGAATCGCTTGAAACCCGGAGGTGGAGGTTGCTGTGAGCCAAAATCGTGCCACTGCACTCCAGCCTAGGCAAAAAGGTGAGACTCTGTCTCAAAAAAAAATTAAAAATAAAACAATAGGAAACTAAAATAAGTAATTCTAGGTTTATATCAGGCTGGTGGCATAACCATATGAAAATGTGCAAAATTCTTTTATTTGAGACTGAGTTTCGCTCTTGTTGCCCAGGCTAGAGTAAGGTGGTGCAATCTCAGCTTACTGCGACCTCTGCCTCCTGGGTTCAAGTGATTCTCCTGCCTCAGCCTCCCAAGTAGGTGAGATTACAGGTGCCTGCCACCATACCTGGCTAATTTTTTTGTATCTGTAGTAGTGATGGAGTTTCACCATGTTAGCCAGGCTAGTCTCAAACTCCTGACCTCAGGTGATCCATGGGCCTCGTCCTCCCAAAGTGCTGGGATTACAGGCGTGAGCCACCGTGCCAGCCTAATAGTTTTATTTTAACTAAAAGTTGATATTGCCATTTAAATCTACTATAGGATAGAGTAAATTAATTGTATTAATGTCGTTAGGCACCAAGATTTTTCAGCATTAGAGTGAAAAGATAGACTTGCCTGTCTCAATATGAACTCATGATTTCTTTTCATAAAACATTTGCATTTCCTAGTTCTATCCAATGAAAAGGCCTGGAAGCAGCAATAACACAGTAGCAGTGAATACCCCAGCCTCACAGATTGTGATCTCTAAATACAGTTCTTCACTAAAAGGAACCACTTCCTTGGAGAAGTGGTCAACTCGAGGTCTGGGAGAGAAAATGTACAAGTTGCAGTGGGGACTTTTGTGCCAGAAAGCAAAGAAGCTATAAAAGACTTAATGAGATTTTGTTAAAGGGTCGTAGGAATCAACTTGAAGAGATTCACACCAACCTAAGATGGGAACATTAAGAATTATGAATAGAAAGATAAAGCGTGTCAAGTACATAAATGCTTCCCCCAAAAATCCCCCCTCTATTTAAACCTTACTGGTCAGCATTGATGGTTGATGGAGTCCTCACTCATTACTTTGAAAATTGATAAATAAAGGGAAGGAATCAAGCACTTATCTTGCCTTATACAAACTGTTTATCAGAGTAACCAAATGGTTGATGATTTTGAAAAAGAGCTTTGTAGACGAATTCCAGTTAATAAATACAGAATGGATGCTGGATCAGACAATTACCATTTTGTCATCCTCAAGAAATGAATCTAGACCACTGGTTCTCAAACTTTACCAAGCATCAGAATCATCTGAAAAGCTCATTAAAATCCAGATTACAGCTCTCTTTCCAAATGTTCTGATTCATTAGATCAGCAGTAGGACCCAATAATTTGCATTTTTAACAAATTCCCCAGTGATACTGATGCTGCAAATCTGGGGACCCCACTTAAGAACCACTGATCTAGGCAGATGATCATCAAAAGATGCTGAAACCTTTAGCTGAACTGTTTGATGACTGTTAATGGGGAACTTTATAATCAGGCTGTTGTCATCTGACTCTACTGACCAGTGACTCTACCACCACTACGCCTGGCTAATTTTTGTATTTTTAGTAGAGACAGGGTTTTGCCATGTTGCCCAGGCTGGTCTCGAACTCCTGACCTCAGGTGATCTGCCTGCCTTGGCCTCCCAAACTGCTGGAATTACAGATGTGAGCCATTGCACTATGGGAAAGAGATTTTAAAAATGTTTTGATATCTATAAACTGAGTGTAAACTGTCATTATTGTGTGATTGCAGAAGCACAAATGTCATCTTCATTTGTGCCGATGAATTAATGCAAAGATAGTGTAAGGGATGTATTAGTCAGTTCTCAATGCATTTGTTGTTATTTTGCAATTCAAATTATTTTTTAGCCAGGAAGTTTTCATCTCATGTTGTGACTACACTAATGTACATCTACATGTGAATAGATACACATTTCTTTTTGGGTATTCATTATCACTGGGTGATGTATTCATAATAAACATCTTCAGTTCAGAGATACAGTACTTAGAGTTTTGATTACTTGATAGAATATTCCCAAGTAGTTAAGTGAGGAGCCTCTTCTTATTGTTATACTTTCTATTTCTACATATGAGAAATTGATGGAAGGCCTACCACACAAACTTGTTCACCCAAAAGGCTCTATTTTTTTTAATCCATCTGTTAGTATGAAATCATTTTCCAGCTTACTTTACAATGTTTGTTAGCATTGCATTTTAAAGTATTTTGGCAGATGAAAGCATTTGGGAATTTTCTTAAATTTGTGCAAGTTCTGAGTTATTAAATTGATAGTGAAATGGTTGACTTTATAATCAGATTTTTTTGAAAACTATTAATGCTTATTCATTTAAACTTTTTTTTTTTTGTCATTTTCAGGGAATCTGGAAAGAATTGCAAAGTCTATACCTTTAGTAAGGATGGGACCTTGTTTGCCTGGGGCAATGGAGAAAAGTTAGTGTTCATTTACATAACATATTTTGTGTATCATGAATATAAACACTGGCATTATTTGAATAACAGATATTTGAGTGTCATTAATAAAATCCATCTTTTAATGTCATGATGTAGTGAGATATTACCTCTCATTACACAGAATACCTTCAAAGTTGTTCGTTTCTATATATATGCCATGACTTGCTTTAGTTATCTAGTTACCTAGAATTAAAAATTAATGTATGAAAAACATAATTTAATGCTAAAGAAACTGAGAAGTTGTTTTAAATAGTGCTCTAAGTTATTGGTTAGAGTTTCTTAAATCTGCACTAACACTGAGAGAATAATTCTCTTTACTCATTTAATCCTAGATGTAGATACTCTTTATCTTTGCTGTTAAATTGCTAACAACTGCCTGCAGTTATTATTATTAATCTTATGTATATAAAAGTGTATGTTATTCAAAAGAATGTTTAGTATAATATATGTTACATAAAATACCAGTTTACAAAATTGGTCTTGCACAAAAAATTATGTTGATTAAATGCTTATATTTTGTTAAGAAAACCAGTCCTTTTTAATTTTTCAAGAGTTACTACAACATTTTATTTCACAGACCATGCAAATGCCCAAATACTTGATTGGCTTAAAGTTATTTACATTGTTTTAAACCACATATAATACTGTTAGGTTTTTCAAAAGGGAGAAAATACATGCATTAGTTTGAAAAGCAAATTTTAAACGTTGTTCTTTACAATGGTAATGTATTCAGAAGTCTTTCAACTACCAGGTGAGATTGGATTAATAGTTGCTTTTTAAAAATTGACTACTAAAGAGAACATGTTGAATTAGTTGATTCACCTTTTTTAAGTAGCTGGCAGAGTTAGCTTTTATAATTTAAAAAAATGGTTTTTTTTTTTTTTTTTTTTTAATTTTAATAGAAACAGGGTCTTGTTATGTTGACCAGGTTAGGCTCAAACTCCTGGGCCCAAGCAGTCCTCCTGCCTCGGCCTCCCGAAGTGTTGGGATTATAGGTGTTAGCCACTGTGCCCAGCCCTTTTTTTTTTAAGTTATTGAATCTACTACTCTCTCTCTCTCTCTCTTTTTTTTTTTTTTTGAGACAGGGTCTCACTGTGTTACCCAGGCTGGAGTGGTACAGTGGCACCATCTCAGCTCACGGCAACCTCCACCTCCCAGGTTCAAGTGATTCTCCTGCCGCAGCCTCCCCAGTAGCTGAGACTACAAGCTGGGCACACACCACCACGTCTGGCTAATTTTTGTATTTTTAGTAGAGATGGTGTTTCACCCTGTTGGTCAGGCTGGTCTCTAACTCCTGACCTCAAGTGATCCACCCGCTTCATTCAGCCTCCCAAATCATTAGGATTACAGGCATGAACCACCTCACCCAGCCTGAATCTACTACTCTCAAATCATTAATAATATAATTATAATGAGTCTTATCTACAATGTTAACAGTTTTAATCTCAGCCTCAAAAAATAAGATGTGTTCTCAAAATTTCTTATTTTGTGTAACCTATTGTGGGTACTTAAATTTTATTTTTTAATCCGTATTTTAATTTGTATTATTTGAGTAATGAGTCAATCGAAATTTACTACATAATGGGCTATACTATACTTCTTTTCATTGTCTTTTTTGTTTTGTTTTTGAGGTATTCCTTGTTCTTCTAGCTTAGAGTTTGTTGAATAAGTCTATTTTTACCTTGGCAGTTATTGTTAATAGTTCACTCGTATCTGCACTTAACCTTCTGTTGGATTCAACTCTGAATCCTTTTAGTATGTCCCCGTATGTCATGTCCATGATTTTAATAGATTTCATCTATATTACGTTCTAGCATTTATTTCATTAAAGTGCTGTGACCACAATGGTACTTATTGTTCTGGGCCAAGAGAACTAGATTTCATGTATTGATTGTGGTCTTTGTTCAGTTTCTGGTTAACTAAGTCAGAAACCATTATGATTCTTCTTTAAATATGTTTTTTCTTAATTAAAATAAACATCCGTCATTAAACTAAGAATAACTATTAAAGACCATCAATTCTGAGGAGGCTGTGGTTGAAAAGCAAAGAAAAAAATGAAGGTTAACAACAGCAACAACAAGAAAACAAGAAAGCGTCTCGTAATTCTAAAATAGGTTATTTGCAGCAAGTTGTAAAGACTTCCATGTAGGTGTCTGTGTTTAAATAATATGTGGTAGTTTTTCATTCTTTTCAGTGACTGCTTATCTTAAACTCAGTTATCTTCCTCAAACCTGAGTAGAACAAAGTTACTTACAGCAACTTCTGGAATAAGATGGAGTGTCTTTTTTTTTTTTTTTTTTTTTAACACCCCAGAGTGTTTAGTACATAAAAGCAAGCCAGGCCAAACTGATTTCAAAGCTTGGCTGTGGCATTTATCAATAGTATGATCTTGAGCAAATTATCAAATCATTTTTCTAAGCCTAAATTTAAGCACATGTAAAACAGAAATGATGACGTTTGTAAGATTGTTCTAAGGATTAAATGAGAAAATGTACGTAAAGTGGTTAGGTACATAGAAAACATCCCCAAATGGAACTGCTTTTATCATACAATTATTGTCATTTTTGTCATTGTACTATAATAATTCTTAGAATCATATCTTTTAAAGATTGCTCTTGAGATTGTAGTAGACGTCAAATGTCTCCTAACTGATTTCCCTAGCTGCTATGGCTTACATTTATTTAAAAAAAAAAAAATTTTTAATTGAAATGAGATCTTGCTATGTTGCCCAGGCTGGTTTTGAACTCCTGGGCTCAAGTGGTCCTCCCACCTCAGCCTCCCAACGTGCTGGGTTTACAGGCATGAGCCACTGCACCTGGCCCATTTATTCAAATTTAAAAGTATACTTTTGTGGGCCAGACACAGTGGCTCATGCCTGTAATCCCAGCACTTTGGAGAAGGCCAAGGTGGGTGGATCACCTGAGGTCAGGTGTTCGAGACCAGCCTGGCCAACATGGTGAAACCCCGTCTCCACCAAAAATACAAAAAATTAGCCAGGTGTGGTGGCATGCGCCGGTAGTCCCAGCTACTTGGGAGGCTTAGGCAGGAGAATCACTTAAACCCAGGTTGCAGTGAGTCAGGATTGTGCCACTATACTCCAGCCTGGGTGACAGAGTGAGACTCCATCTCAAATAAAAAATAAAACCAAAGTATACTTTTGCCATTTTCTCTAGCACCTTTGCCTTTCCTTTGATTTAATAGACCTCAACTTCTCTGTAGATTAGTTTTGTGTTCACTTAAAGGTGTTTTTTTCCTTTTCAGCTGAAAGTGGAATCATCCATGTGTCTTCTATTTTATATCGTTTCCCAACACTAGCCTTATATAGGAGGCTTTTGGTAAAATATATACCTTTTTTTTTTTT